TTTTTTTTTTTTTTTTTTTTAGAGACAGGGTCTAGCTATGTAGTTTGAGCCGGCTTTGCACTCACTATGTAGTCTAAGACGGCCTTGAACTCTCAACAATCCTCCTGCCTTGGCCTCCCAAGGGCTGGGATTACAGGCATGTGCCACCATGTCCAGCCTTTACATCCTAATTTTACATATGACAAAACAAATCCACAGAAGCTAAAAACTATGCTAAAAATGCTGAATCAGTTTTCTTAGAAAACTAAGAAAAATGATATAAAATAAAAATGTTTTTAACCTTCTATTGCTAAAGATAGTTGATTAAGTAGCTACCACTAAATAATTGCATGGTTGATATCACCCTTGTGTATCTGAATTTTATATTAGGAACCCAGATTGAGCCTACTCTGTGCTGACAGTCTGATCAAAGTGTGAGATCCTCTATGCCTTAGTAAATGATTAGTATAGCACTGGGGGCGGGGGGAGACAGGGATCCAACTCAGGACCTTGCACTTTTGAGGCAAGCACAGTGCCACTGAGCTAAATCCCTGGCCCGATAGCACTTTAATTTTACTTATTTTCCCTCCCTTATATATTTGCTTACTGATAACATTGATATAGTTATAAGAACTCAGATTGGAAAGACAAAAATGCCCATTTGGCAAAAATGCCCCAAAATGGACATGCAGTATTGTTTAAGAAGTATTTAAAAGAGTGAGGGTAGGACAGAGCTTTTCTACTTCCTGAGCCAGTATTTTGTTATGGTGAGTTGCATTGTTTTTCTTTTAAAAAGAAAAGAGAAAAGAAAAAAAAGAAATTTCAGATAGCTGCTTCCTGGGTCTCTGTGAAATGACTTTTTTTTTTAATACACTTTTGATCAATACTAGGTATTGACACTAGTATCAATACTAGTGCTCATCCAATAACCACAGCCAGGGCACTGCAGAGCACTGACCAACAGTTTGCCTCACCTGTGCCCTCACTCCCCTCCCCTGGTGGGGGAGTCACTTCCCCAGATGTTCTTGAATTCTCCAGTGGAAATGGAGGATGTTGGGAAAAGGAGATGAGGACTGTATGCTGGGGAACACCGAACCGAGCCTCATGTGAAGTTAGCAGATTATTTAAAAATTATTAACCCTTTTATGCCAAAGATTGCAATTTTTGTGTGTGTGTGAAATTCATGTATTATACCTAGAAAAATTCAAGGAACAAGAATTTGAAGAGGAAAGAAATTTTATTATGTTCCATTGTTATAGGTGTTCCAAAATTGGAACACTAGGAATTGAAGGGTTAAGAGAGACTATTTATTTATTTATTTATTTATTTATTTATTTTTGGTACCAAGGATTGAACTCAGGACCTAGCACTTTCAAGGCAGGCGACGGAACCACTGAGCTAAATCCCCAGCCCAAAAGAGATACTATTTATTGAATGTTTACAGTATGCCAGGCTCTATAGAAATGGTGTTACATTTAACTCTTGCAACTTTTAAAGATAGCTACTATTCCCTTCAGTAGATGAGAAGATTGAGGCTTAAAAGAGTAGCTTCCCAAAATTAGGAAAAGTGGGCTGGGAATTTAGCTCAGTGGTTCCGCCACCTGCCTCACAAGCAGAAGGACCTGAGTTCAATCCCCGGTACCAAAAAAAAAAAAAAAAATTAGGAAAAGTTAGTGATTCAAATCCAGGCCCCTTCACAAAACCTTTGCCATTTGTCCTAAGGATTTCTTTCTTTTCTTGCCTGTATGAGTCAGGGTCAACAACTAGAGGACTGAGTGGAAACTAAGGACAAAGGAGGTTAACAACATTTTCAAGTGACATGATGTTTTCCACCTAACAGATCATGACAACTGGCCTGAGGGAGTTTGGGATGTTTCCACTGTCAAGAAGCTCAAGGAATCTTTTAAAGAGAAAGCAAAGCTCTAAGCCAAAGAAACAACCACTACATTTGTTCCAGAGTGCCTTAGCATCTTGAGAAAGCACATGTGTACTTTAAAAGCACTTATAATTTGTATGGGGGGAAAAAATCACTTCTGGTTTTATGATATGATGAATTATATCTATGCAAAAATGATTCCTTAAATATGTGCACTTTTATGTCCTCATCACCGTCTTTTAACATGTTAAAGATTAATTTTTTAAGGAATGGAGATTAACGCAGTTAAATGATCATACTTCTTATTTCTAAGAAAGATGTGAAAAATGAAATAATTTAAATGAAAAATAATTAGAAGAATCATCACTCTCAGAAGGTTTTAGTATGAAAATAATGGGAGAATATGTATTTAACTTGTCACATAATGGTGATTATTACAACTAGAGTTATATAACATCTTATTTTTGGTGAAAAATACTTTTGGATCAATAAAGCCTTATGGTAATTATCAATGTGTAGCTTGTTTTACTCATAAAGTCAAATCTGCATAAACCTTAAAGACATGATACGTCAGTGGCTCCATGATTGGGCACCTCCCTCATATGGCATCTCCTTCTCTAGGATGTGGGTCACCTGGTGAGATGCTATGGAGTTGTGATGCTGTGCCCATGGATGAGGCAGGTAGTGGTGGTACTGAGTCCCTGTGGACAAGGAAGACAAACTATTACCTGAAATACGTAACTATTACTGTGAGGAGTGGCACAGATGCCACATGGTAATTTGAACAGTAGAATGCTTAATATAAAGAATTATTAACTATAACAAGGGATTTTTCTAATGAGGGGTTGGCCAGTAAGGAGTAAAGAGAACTTTAATGAATACATAAGTTGTAAGTTGGCACCAATAGGTTTGAGAAGGCGCATTAAAAAAAAAAAAACAACTCCAGAACCTCTATGCCCAGATCTAGTAAGGTGGCCATGGTAGTGACTCGTAAGACAGAAAAGATATCTAACCCAATTGTTACAGTTTGTATCTAGATGTCCCCCCAAAGCCTCATGCAGTCATAGATGGGGCTTTTCCAAGGTGGCTGAATCTAATCTAGGGTGTGATGCTGGGATTAAGGATGTGATGCTGGGATTAATGGTATAATGCTGGGATTAAAGGTGCCCCACCCTGGATGTGAGAGCTACCTGCCCTAAGGCCAGGCAGCCTGGATGGAATAAAAAGAAGGCTTCTGCTGGCACTTGCTGCTTGATGCCTTCTGCCTGCCCTGCTTTGCCATGAACTGTTACTTTTCTGCCATGCCACCCTGCCTTGGAGCAAGGATTGAAATCTCTACAAACCCTGAGCTATAATAAACCTTTTCTCCTTTAACTTTGAGTGTCAGGGACGACCCACATAGCTGAAGGGTTCACAGAGTGAGAAACGATGGTGGGAGATTAAGAAAGTCAAAGAAAGAAGACAAAGATGACAGTAAAGTTTATAAAGCTAAGGCCAGGTGGACACCCTTTGTCCTATGAGACAAAAGGCTTGGCTTGCATCCTCAGCACCTTTATTTATAGCATAGATAAGGAAAACGAAAGGGGACGCCTGATTGGAGCAGGGAAAACTGCTGGGATCTGCAGGAGATAATGCTTGATGTTTCTCTAGCAAATGGGTGGGAAGGAAGATAGTCCTCTTCTCTGCCAGGCCTTGCTCCACCATGCCCTCTTGTTGCTGTTCTCTTCTTTTGGGGGCCCTGCCTCATCAGTGGGAGGAGGTGAGTTAGACCTGGCTATAGTAATCTACAATGCATCGCTCCCAGCATTCTGTCTGTCCTACTTTGCCATAAACTGTTACTTCTCTGCCATGCCACCCTGCCTTGGAGCCAGGGCTGAAATCTCTACAAACTCTGGGCTATAATAAACCTTTCCTCCTTTAACTTTGAATGTCAGGTATTTTGTCTCACCAATGAGAAAAGTAATTGAAACAGATTTTGGTACCAGGAGTGGGATCATTGCTGTGATGTTACATGGCCACGTGGTTCAGGAGTCTTTGGAACTGGCTTGTGGAAAGAGTTTGGAAAGGTTTAGAGATGCTGAAGAAGCAGCCCTGGAGTGCTTTAAACTGTACTTAATGAGATTCTGATGAGAATTCAGAAGACCAGAATGCTGATAGAAATGCAACTGGCAAAGACCAGACTCAAGAGGTTTCAGTTAAGAACAAGGAGTGCAGGACTGGGGATTTAGCTCAGTGGCACTATACCTACCTGACAAATACAAGGTCCTGAGTTTGATCCCCAGTACCACACACATACAAAAAAAGACAAGGAGTGCATTGGCTGTTGAACTCCAGACCATGTATATTATCCTTTGGCAGAAAGTTCATCTGCATTTTTCTCTTGTCCAGCGACTTTGCCTGTAACTGAAATTAAAGGCAGTGGACTAATAAATCTTACAGAAGAAATTTCAAGACAGTCTAATGTTGAGGCGGTGGCAGGGCTACTACTGGGGCTTTTAGCCATATCTATGTTGATCTGAGCAAAAAGACCAGCAGAATGATTTAAAACATTGTGAGTTTGACCAGAAAGGAAGCTCCAGTATAGCTGTGGACTGCAGAGATAGAACAGAGGAGAACTTGGTTGCTGAGAAGGAACAGAACAGTGAGAAAGACAGCCTGAAGACATCATAAGAAACAGCACGTCTCTGGCCTTTGCAGCCTCAAAGTTACAAAGGTGAAAGACTGCTTTGAGAAGAGAGCCCCAGAGCACTAAGTTCCAGAATGGTGGTGGTCTAGAGAATTTGTTCCTCAGAATTTCATTCAGAGTGCTCAGTGATCCAGGCACTTGACTCCTACAGCCAAGAGAGAAGAAAGCCTAGCTACTGCTCCAGCTGGCAGCAGACCTTGGCATCATCCCTGTGGTGCTGGTTTTAAGTGTATGGAGAATGTAAGAGTTGTGGGGTCAGGAAGGCTTCCACCCAGATTTCATTAGACCTGGGAGGATAGGCAGTGTGCTCCTGAGAGGACAGTTTTTGAAGCTGTGAGTATAAAGCTGAAGGTATGGCCAGAAGTTTGGAGAAGCCAGGAACATGGTCTGAGGAAAGCTGCAAGGAGTGAACAAAGTCAGCCCAAAATAGAAGCCATGGGAACTACAACTATTGGCAGTGCCACAGGGGCAGATGGTTCTAACAAGCCCTTTGGAGTTCAGATCTTGGCAAAGATTATACAAGAAAAGATTACACATGAAATTACAGGACTTATTTGTCCTGCTGGATTTTGGGCTTGTGTTGGATCTGTTTCTTTCTATCCCTCTATTTGTACCTTTTGGAATGTAATGTTTATCTTGTGCAACTATATGTTAGAAGTGTTTCTCTTTTCATTTGTATAGGGGCTTGAAGCCTTAGATCTCAGAGGAGACTTTGGACTTGGATTTTTCAGCAGTGCTAAAACTGTTAGGACTTTGGCAACTCTTAGAGATGGACTAATGCTTTAAGCATAGAAAGATATACATGAGTGTTTTAGGGGCCAAGGGTAGAAAGTTAAGCTTGCATCTAGACATCCCCCCAAAGTATCATGTGGTCATAGGTGGGACTTTTTGAAGGTGGCTGGATCTAGGGTGTGTTATATTGGAATTAAGAATGTGATGCTGGGATTAATAGTATGATGCTGAGATTAAAGGTGCACCACCCTGGGAGTGAGTACTACCCCCACAAGGGTGGGTAGCCTGGATGGAATATAAGGGACAAAAAGAGGGCCACTGCCAGCACTTGCTGCTTGCTGCCTTCTGCCTGCCATTCTTTGCCATGAACTTTTTCTTCTCTGCCATGGCACCCTGCCTTGGAGCCAGGACTGGAACTTCTACAAGTTCTGAGCTATAATAAACCTTTCTTCTTTTAACTTTGGGTGTCACGTATTTGCTGACACAACAAGAAAAGCAACTGAGACACCTACTATTTTCTTACAGCCAAAAGTGACTTGATTGGCAGCTGTTAAGCCCCTCCCATGCATTACATTCTTGCCTCCTCAGGGGTGGCCTAGGGTCACTAGCTCAAGGGCCTTCCCAGCAACCCAGGGGTTACTTCAGGGCATCCTCCAGGTCATTCTAACAGGAGCTATTACCCTTACCCTCTCCAGGCCATTACAGATGCTGATGATTTCTCTCTAAAGAGCAGTTGGGAAACCATACTTGATAGGGCAAAGATGTGGGAAGGACTGGGGCTCACTGTTGATATCCTGCAAATCTCTAAACCCAAGGCTTCATGATCATTTGTGCCAGGCCTAAATATTCAAAAGCAGTGGCAGTCAAGATTTCATCCCTGCCATTTTTAGGAAGATGTCAGCGTTGTTAATCAAGCAGCTAGGTGCACAATGCAAAGTGCCCCCCAACTATTGCCATGACAACTACAAATATCTCATATCCTCTGCTGCTCCAGGAGATATATTCCTTGGTCATAGTGGGATTGAAACTCAGACCTATCCCAGATGATCCCACCCTACAGACAATCCTGATGATTCCATACTTATCTGCCCCCACCATGTCCTCATTACTATGAAAGTGGTCAAGCAGGTCCTTGAAAGGTACAAAAGTGCAGATGTATGGCCCACTGGTACTCATTATAAGCAGAACTCTGATACTTCTCAATCAGTTGAGGAAGGCTTTTGCCAATATACTACTACTATGCCATGGTACATGTTGTACCAAGCGAGCTTGTAAATCACCAAACACTGGGACAAATGACAAAGTTAAAACTGAAAGGAGTTTATTCATGCACATGGACTCCACCTTCTAATAGGAGTGAAGTGCCAAGTTCAGGAATAGCACAGTTTTTATAGGGTGTTATAACAGCACAGCTTTTATAGATGGTTATTTAAAGAAGTTCAAGGCGGGGGTCTACATGTTTTCTTACTCAGTTGCAAAACATTTTTCACCACTCAGCTATCTTGCTGCCTTGTCAGGTTAGGGCAATTCACAGTAAAGGGAGGCACCAGGCACCATCCCTTTCCGAGAAGTGATGAAGCAAGTTTACAGAAGCAGCACAAGCAGTTACAAAAATGCACTCTGTAAGAGGAGGGGTATGAGGGGAGTTCATCTTCAGGCCAAGATGGCATTTTTTTAGGTTCATCTTGGTCTCACAGTACATTTTCCAACAAAAGCTCCCTTGAATTATCCTATAAATCTACCTGTAGTTCTTATCTTGAGTAGTGTGGGCAGAATAAGTTGCATTAAAAAGGGCTGTTAACCCTGAATAGTCCCAAAGATAAATGAAGATCAGCAGAGAAGCACACAAAGCTTTTTCCAAAACATAAAGCATGTTTAAATAAATATAAAAGAATTTAAATTATCCCATGCATATTATCAGATCAATGGGCCAGGGATTTAGCTCAGTGGTTTTGCCACCTGCTCCACAAGTGGAAGGACCCAAGTTCGATCTCCAGTACCAAAAAAAAAAGATCACTGAGCAATGAAACTAGAAATCAATGATCTTTTTTTAAAAAACCCACAAAGTTATGCAAGCATGTGGAGATTAAATAA